TTGGGAAAGTTTGGCAGTTTCTTATAAACACACACTTACTATATGATCCAGCAGTTCCACTTTCAAATATTAACCCAAGTGAATTATAATTTTATGTTCACACAAAAACTTATATGTGAATGTTTATAGTAGCTTTATTTATAATTGCCAAAAACTGCAAACAACTCAGATGTCCTTCAATAGGTGAATGAGTAAGGAGACTGGTACAACCCTACAATGGAGTATTACTCAGCACTAAAAAGAAACAAACTATTGATTCTCTAAACAACATGCATGAATTATAAGTGCATTTTGCTACCCAGACCCATATGCCTATGTAACATATAATTTGATTTATAAAACTTTCTAGAAAAGGCAAAACTATAGGAATAGAAAACAAGTAGTTTCTGGGAATTGGGAATTGGGGAGGGATGGACAACAAATGGTTCAGACAAGGCAATTTTCAGGGCAATATACCTCTTCTATAGGTGACAGTGGTGTTTATATGGCTTTGCCAAAACCCATAGTGCTCTGCATTGACTATATTACAAATGTATGCCATAAGTTCAATGAAGGGGTTGGGAAAGAAGGAAACTAAATAATTTTTAAAAACAAGGCTAGATATGCGTCAGCAATCCTAAAAGCACTGTATCTGTATACTAGGTTGAACAAATAAGTAAATATACAGCAGATCATGAGAGCACAATCACATTCACTGTCAGAAAAAGAAGTTACAAAATAAGCAAGTTGGAGACGCTAGGATGAACCCTATGAATGTTAGATTAGAAGCTGAGATATCAGTATGTTTACATACGTAGACACACACACAGATAGGTACAGAAATAAATGTAATTATGTGTGTACAAATGGATTAGTATGCATACATTATTTTCTAGTTCTGTCCACTGTAATAACCTGGAAGCAGTGATAACCTATTCACATAAAGTATACCTACTACTCAGATGCTGGTTTCTAAATACCATTCTTCAGTAAAACAAACCAAAGCAACATTGGACCATTGATTTTAGGGCTTGGATAGAAATAAGAGTCTGTAATATTTTGGAATCCTAGTAAAAAAAAAGTCCTAAAATAAAATGGGCATGTCAAAAGTGCATAAGCGTCAATCTGAAAGAACTGCCAATGGCTAAAGTTTAAACAATGTAAGTCAGAAAACAAAATGAATCACAATAGTATTGGATTATAAGCCAATAATAAAATTATAAGCCAATGATAAAATAAATATTCATGAGCCCATACTTATATAGTTTATCTCTCTCTCTCTCTCTCTACACACACACACACACACACACACACACACACACACACATCCCATGACTAAATTAGAGGAAAAGGACTTTTTTTTTATTATACTTCAAGTTATGAGGTACATATGCAAAATGTGCAGGTTTGTTACATAGTTATACATGTGCCATGGTGGTTTGCTGCATTCATCACCCTGTCATCTACATTAGGTATTTCTCCTAATGCCATCCCTTCCCTAGCCCCCCACCTCCTGGTATCCCTCCCCTAGGCCCCCATTCCCTGACAAGCCTCAGTGTATGATGTTCCCCTCCCTGTGTCATGTGTTCTCATATTGTTCAACTCCCACTTATGAGTCTGAACATGCAGTGTTTGGTTTTCTGTTCTTATGTTAGTTTGCTGAGAATGATGGTTTCCAGCTTCATCATTGTCTCTGCAAAGGACATGAACTCATCCCTTATCATGGCTGCATAGCATTCCATGGTACATATGTGCCACATTTTCTTTATTCAGTCTAACATTGATGGGCATTTGGGTTGGTTCCAAGCCTTTGTTATTGTGAACAGTGCCACAATAAACATGCATGTGCATGTGTCTTTATAACAGAATAATTTATAATCCTGTGGGTATATACTCATTGATGGGATTGCTGGGTCAAATGGTATTTCTAGTTCTAGATCCTTAAGGAATCACTGCATTGTCTTCCACAATGGTTGAACTAATTTATACTCCCACCAACAGTGTAAAAGCATTCCTATTTTTCCACATCCACTTAATTAAACACTCTCTCAGAACAGATACATAAATGACAAGTAAACATATGAAAAAATACTCTAACCATTAATACTTAGGAAAAAACAAATTCAAGCTACAATAAAATACAACTATACAACTCTCATAATAGCTAAAATTAAAACAAACAAAAACCTGACAATACCAAGTGCTGGAGTCAATAAGGAACAACAGAAGCTCTCATTCATTGTTGACAGAAATTCAAAATGGTATAGCCATTTTGGGAAAGTTTGGCAATCTGCTGTCTCCTGTTTTTTTAATGATTGCCATTTGAACTGGTGTGAGATGGTATCTCAATGTGGTTTTCATTTGCAATTCTCTAATGACCAGTGATGATGAACTTTTTTCCATATGCTTGTTGGCTGCATAAATGTCTCCTTTTGGGAATGTCTGTTTATATCCTTCACCCACTTTTTGATGGGGTTGTTTGTTTTTTTCTTGTAAATTTGTTTAAGTTCTTTGTAGATTCTGGATATTAGCCCTTTGTCAAATGGACTGCAAAAATTTTCTCCCATTCTATAGGTTGCCTGTTCACTCTAATGATAGTTTCTTTTGCTGTGCAGAAACTCTTAAGTTTAATTAGATCCCATTTGTCTATTTTGGCTTTTGTTGCCATTACTTTTGGTGTTTTAGTCATGAAGTCCTTGCTTATGCCTATGTCCTGAATAGTATTGCCTAAGTTTTCTTTTCTTTTTGGGTGCTAGGTCTTATGTTTAAATATTTAATCCATCTTTAGTTAATTTTTGTATAAGGTGTAAAGAAGGGATCCAGTTTCAGCTTTCTGCATGTAACTAGCCAGTTTCCCTAACACCATTTATTCAATAAGAAATCCTTTCCCCATTGGTTGTTTTTGTCAGGTACGTCAAAATGGTTGTAGACGTGTGGTATTATTTCTGAGGCCTCTGTTCTGTTCCATTGTTCTATATCTCTGATTTGGTACCAGTACTATGCTGTTTTGATTACTGTAGCCTTGTACTGTAGTTTGAAGTCAGGTAGCATGATGCCTCCAGCTTTGTTCTTTTTGCTTAGGATTGTCTTGGTTTGTGGGCTCTTTTTTAGTTCCATATGAAGTTTAAGGTGGTTTTTTACAGTTCTGTGAAGAAAGTCAATGGTAGCTTGATGGGGATAGCATTGAATCTATAAATAACTTTGGGCAGTATAGCCATTTTCACAATATGGATTCTTCCTAACCATGAGCATGGAATGTTTTTCCATCTGTTGTGTCCTCTCTTATTTCCTTGAGCAGCAGTTTGTAGTTTTCCTTGAAGACACCTGAAAAGGACATTTTTAAAAGTAGAATACTTCTAATTTATAGATGTACAGGAAATAGGATAAATGAAAAATAACCATTAGTATACCACTGTAATAATAAATGCAGGTGACATCCACTGATAAATTCTAAATTAGTAGGACAATGTTTAAGGCAATATTTGTGCTTTAATATATCTTCCCACAAACTGTTCATTATTATAGTAGTTTTAGCATACATCTGTAATTTTTTTTGCTACTTAAGGCTGCAGAAGTTGGAAATTAATGCTTCTACACTTGAGTACAGCTATACTTCATGACTTGCTCCAAATGAACAGAGCATGGGAGGAGGAAAATGATAATTAACTGTAAGAAACCTGGCAGATACTTCCATACTGAAGTGATCAAGTTTGACTTCATCAGTAATAAGTCATGTTGGTTTTATGTGCCCCTGATATGATTGATATTATACAAGATACCTCTGTGATTGTCTTCCTTCAAATTTATAACTTTAGTATAATTATAATAAAACATCAGATTAAAAACTAACCACTATTTGCTAACAGTTTTGAAATTATGAAAGATAAGGAAGACTAAGAAACCCTCATCAATCAGAGGAAAGTGAGGAGATGAGTTGACAAAATACAACGTGATATCTAGGACTGGATCCTGAAACAGAAAATGGATGCCAAGAGGAAAAGTGGAAAACCTAAATAAAGTCTCTCATTTGGTTATTATTATTATACTAGTGTTAGTTTCTTAATTTTATTAAATGCAACATGGTTATATAAAATGTTAATGTTAGAAGAGTTTGAGAGAAGGATATATGGAAGCTCTAAATTAAAAGGGACAAAAAAGTGAATAGAACAATAATTTTATGCATATTAATTTAAAGTTACAAAGGTAATTATTAAGGTAACTAAAAGTAATTATATAGCGATTTTAAGAAGAGAGGGAGGAAAAGTGGACACAGACACATGATGTAAGTGAACTAAAATAGCCCATCAATGGGTATCATAAAAAGTCCATGTCAATGTTGACAACTCAACAAATAACTTTATAAATGTATCATTTGGGTAACCACCAGAAAATATTAAAACAGACTTGGTTAAACGAAGTTTCTTACTGGAGCAGGAATAGAAGTGGCCAGAAATAGGAGTCAGAGATTGCTTTTTCATTACCATTTCATTAGCAATATCTGATTTTAGGACCATATGCATGCTATTTCGATAAAAACTACAAAATAGTGTCATTCCACAAAGAGGCTCCATTGTCAATTGGTTTGGAATATATTTATTATTTTTCCTCTATTTTAGAGAGTCACAATATATACTGTCATATTAAACATTCAGAGAAATTATAAAACAAAAACATAACAAAATGTAAACAAACTTTCTGTAAATCAGCATTTTCCAAACTTCTTTGTCTGCAGAAACAGGTATTAGCCTTATGAGAAACATTCAGAAAATAGAATGCAATTTGAGAAATGCTGTGCTCTGAACCCTTGAAGAGTAAAAGAAAACCACAACTGAGAAATTGATGTAAAGCTCTCCTACCTGTGGCAAAGATGAACTCCTTCCACTCTCTGGAGCCCTGTAATTGCTAAACTCATTACGGTAGTTCCTGTCTGTCTCCTGTATCTGTCCCAAATACGACAAGAGTCTGGCACAATTTTGCCTTCTTTCATGCAGTGTCCTCATTGCTACTTAATCATTTTGCAGGTTTGTGCAAAGCTTATTCTGATTCTTGAAATATGTAAAAGACCCTTGAAGCATAATTCTATGCTATTCCCCACATTGAGAGAGTGAGATGGAGCTCAGTTGGATGTCACCACCCCCTGTTTGGGACAAAGATCACACTCTGCCTTGAAACCCAGTAATCAAAAAGGTAGGCTTCTGTTCTCTCGATCCTTCAGAGCTTCTAGCGCTATGGGGGTAAAAAGAGGCTCTCTGCCTTACCTGGATTTTGGTCCTATGGGGATGATTTCATGGAGGTTGACAAAATCTATGACTGCAGCTGATGTAATTTACATGGTCCTGAATCAAGGCAGGTGGATTATGTATTCTCTTTGTTTTCACTCTGGATTTATGGGAAGGAAGGGTAATTTTTCCTCTTGTCCAAATATCTTAAATCATTCAAAGGCAGCATTAGACTTTTAACAGAAAAATGCAAATGTAACTAGGACACTTACAATGACCTAAATGCATGCTGATTACCTTTCTGTTATTTTCTGCCCTTAAATAAAGAAAATAAAATAAATGTCAGCAGTAAGAAAAATGAAAGTAGGTCAGTCTTACAGAACCATTAGATCAAAAGCAGTTAGAAGCCAAACACACCTTTCCCAAGTGGGAAGCAAGAAATCAACATGTAAATGAAAAGCATTTGAAGAGTTGTAGCAGTTTTTCTATTAGCCCTGGCAATTAGCAGGAGGGCATTAAATTATTCTGGTGACTACATCTTGTAGCAGGAACAAAGTGGAAAGGCTGGTAATGTTACTGAAGGAGATGAGTCGCTCCAAAACAGAGCTTCTAGTGGGTGGGACTCACATTTCTTAGAAAATGAGAGGAAGAATAGACAACAAAGGATGCTCCCTGCTAGGATCATGCAGAAGGAAGCTCTGACTTTTCACCCTGTGTGTAGATGTGTGTTTGTGTAGGTGTAAATGTCTTCTGATTCCTTTCAAATGACCATACTTGAAGGTCTAATACTAACACCATCAGGTGACAATATGAAATTCCAACAGCATGGCCAAATAGGGTGGCCTTTCATCGAAAACTTGTACTTGTCCCTGTTAATAACTATTACACTGCTTCTTGTACAAAGATTCCTTTTAATGTCCTACTATGTGGGGTCAAGTTAATACACTCATCCTTACACTACAGAATTTAACAACGTCAACACTGTATACATGCATGAAGGAAGAGAAGCGGCCAAATCAACGTGGAACACATCCGTTAATGAAAAACTGCTCACAAAATGTTTTTACAACAAGGCAAGATTTCTAGTGATACACTGTGAGAGAAGAAATGGGGAGTTATCTGAGGCAAAGTAGTGTGATAGTAGAGGAGTCTCTAAGATTTGATGTAAGATTTTGGAGAATAAACACTGAATGATTTGGTTCAGTATATGTAATAACTCATTAAAGAATCTGAAACCAGTTTTGGTCCCAGCACAGAGAGTCCACATAATATGATTTCTCTCCAATATGGTACAAATTATAGTGACTTTATGGAGTATCTTGAGTTTATACCTAAAAGTTTAAACTTTAAAAGTTTAGGCCGGGCGCGGTGGCTGAAGCCTGTAATCCCAGCACTTTGGGAGGCCGATGCAGGTGTATCACGAGGTCAAGAGATCGAGACTATCCTGGTCAATATGGTGAAACCCCGTCTGTGCTAAAAATACAAAAAATTAGCTGGGCATGGTGGCGCATGCCTGTAATCCCAGCTACTCAGGAGGCTGAGGCAGGAGAATTGCCTGAACCCAGGAGGCGGATGTTGCGGTGAGCCAAGATCACGCCATTGCACTCCAGCTTGGGCAACAAGAGTGAAACTCCGTCTCAAAAAAAAAAAAAAAGACTTTGAACTTGGAAGAAAAATATATTTCAAATTCCCTTATACCTAATCTATAGGAAAAATAAAGTCCTAACTTTATTACCCATTGATAACCTTTGGAATATACCATTTTTCATATTATTCATGAAAAATACAGGAAACATAGAAGAGCCCACCATTTAATACATTCTACAGTATGAGGGCTGGATATTACTTTTTTTCTTCTTTGCTCAGCCCTGAGAAATGGGACTTTACAGTGTCAAAGAAGGAAAGAAAGAAAGAAAGAAAGAAAGAAAGAAAGAAAGAAAGAAAGAAAGAAAGAAAGAAAGAAAAGTTATTTTCATAGCAGAAGACAGGGGCTATGGAAAGGTAAGTTGAGTTTGTGGCAAATACATCATTTTTATTTTCAAAATAATTGTACTGTTCTTTTTGATGTAAAAGTGGAAATAGATGTTTTCATGTTGATGAGTAATCTTTAAACTCTTGAGATTGTGTCTTGAATTTACATAAAAACTCATAGGCAAATTTATATGGAAAGGCAAAAAAAAAAAAACAAAAAAACAAAAAAACCCAGAACAGCCAACAAAATATTAAAGAAGAAGAAAACTGGAGAACTGACACTATCCAACTTCAAGATGTACCATAAAGCTACAGTAATCAGAGAATGTGGTGTTGGCAAAAGGATGAACAAATAGATCAATGGAATAGAGTCCAAAAACAGACCACACAAATATTGTAAACTGATTTTTGACAAAGGAGAAAATGCACTCCAATGGAGAAATGATAGTCTTTTTGATAATTGTTGCCAAAACAACTGGATGTCTAATGACAAATAATAATAATAATCTACAGGCAGACTTTACATCTTTCACAAAAGTTTCTCAAATTGGATCACATGTCTAAGTGTCAAATATAAAACTATAAAACTTCCAGAAGATAACATAGGAAAAAATTTTTTCCACTGTATCTTCTTGGGCATTACTGAGCCTCCTTTATCTGAATGTCTACATATTTTGCTAGACTTGGAAAGTTTTCTTCTATCATCTTATTAAATTGATTTTCTACCCTTTTTAGTCTCATTGTCCTCAGGGATACCAATAATCTGAATATTTACTTGTTTTATGTTGTCCCAAATCTTACAAAATCCTTTTCATTCTTTTTTATTCTTTTTCCCTTGTTTTTGTCTGACTAGATTGTTTCAAAAGATTGTCTTTACATTCTGAGATTCTTTCTTCTGCCTGATCTAGTTTTTGCTGAAGCTATCATATGTATTTTGTATTTCCTTTAATGAATTATTCAGCTCCAGAATTTTTATTTAGTTTCTTTTTAAAAGAAATCTATCACGTTGGTAAAAATATCATTCATGTTTTGAATTATTTTTCTAATTTCTCTGCATTGTTTTCAGAATTCTCTTGTGTAATTATCTTTAAAATAAATATTTTAATTCTCTTTCTAGGATGTTGAAAAATTATTTGTGATTAAGATGTATTGCTGGCAATTATTATATTCTTTTGGGAGGTGTCATATTTCCATGCATTTTCACATTTCCTGCCTCCTTACATTGATAACTGTGTATCTGATGTAACACTTGCTTTTTCCTATTTTTTAAATTTACTTTCATAGGAGAGGACTTTTTCCTGAAGATGTATCTATAGTGTTTGTTGTGTAAGGTTCTTCGGCTTCGATTGTGGGCATGTGCAGAAGAAGGGTACTCTCTGTATGATTTCTTTGGCTATAAACAGCATTCATGGTGTCTTTGATTTTCTTGGTGAGTTATGGTGTGGTTATTAGTAGAGGCTGTAGTGAAATTGTTCCAGGTACTTGGGTACCAGGTGGATCAGTCTTCAGGCCCCAGTACTAGTAAAAATGGGCTGAGCATGCCTATCTTTGTGCCCCAAGGCAGTGTATGCTGGCACCTGTGTTGGTAGTTATAGGCAGGTTGATTCTTGGGCTTTCAGGAGGTTTTCTCAGATGTTGGTAGTGACAGCAGTGGACCAGGCATGTAAGAAGGTTTCTGGGCCCCTGGGCAGTCAATGTGGTGTGGGAAATGGCAGTAGCAATAGCAGGATGATTCTCTGTGTCTAAAGCTCTACTCATTCATGTTGGTTATGGCTGTAATGGGCTGGGTGGGCCACTCTTTAGGCCCATTACAGCCATAGCCAACATAAATTGCAGGTAGTGATTGCAGGTGCTGCCAGCTGAGGTGATAGCAGTCAGTTTAGGCTCAGCCTCAGGCCCTTAAAAGGAGTGCTCAGGTGACCAAAGTGGCATATTGGGTTGAGCAATCCCCGAGACCCTGAGCTATGTGCTCTGTCTCAGGGCACAAAGGTGGGTTGGGTGGGCTTGTGTTCAGGCCTCACAATGATGAGAGCAGGCATAAGCCAGATTGGCAGAGGCAGGATAATCCTCAGGCCTCAGGCAGAGTGCTCAGGTGAGGAGTGGTAGCAGCCACGCTAAGGCCCTGCCACTGGAGAGTTGGAGCCATCCTCAGTGGCCACAGCCTGGGAAGCTAGTGGGGAATGCATGTCCCTCTTATTCTCCATCCCAGTGAGACTTATCCTCCATCCCTGGTAGCAGTAGTCCATACCTAGCTCAAGCCCTCATCCTGGCTGCAGGATTCTTTACCTAGCTCCCAGTTACATTCCAGTGGCAACTTGCACTCTGCTCAAATTCCTGTCTCAGTCCCAATGACTGTTGCAGCCCATATCTTACTTGCTTCTTAGCCTAGGCTGTGGGAACACTTGCAGCTCTCTCTTCAGTATCAACAGCAACAGTCCAAGTTCCTGTAATGCCTTTGTTTCAGCACTACTGGGACCCAGGACAGCATGCAGTCTGCCAAAGGCTAGATTTGAAAATGGTGACTTGCTGTAGACTCTTAGGTCTTAGAAAGGGTGTGAGACTCAGTGCAAACTCCATCCCTGGAGCACTTCTGTCCCATTGCAGCTTCCTATGTTAGTTTCAGGGGTTAGCAGGATCAAGGTGTTCTCTCATGGCCAGGATTTCAGGATTCAACGGTGAGGATGTGGGCCACTGTCCACAAGTTACTCACTCACTTTTTCCCCATGCTGGGAAGTCACTCTCAGCCACCAGCTGATCTTGGCCAAATAGTCTGCCTCTCTTCCTTTGCCTTCCCTGTTTTTGGTGTTTCCTGTCACTTCTCTGTTGATTTCTAACATTCTCTCTTGGATAACGTATTTGAAGTGTGACTTTCTATGCATTATGTTGGTTCTAAGTGGAAGAGATGGGCCATGAAATGCTTCTAGCCAGCCATCTTAAAGCCCCTCTGAAATTTTAGATATGACACTAAAAGTACAATTCATAGGAGAAAAAAATTGG